ATGCACACATTTATCGGGTTAATGATAAAACAATAAAATGGAATTTATGTCTGTATTCAAAACTCAACTAGTAGACAATTGTAACACGTAAAATTTCATGTCAAAACACTTGCCACATACCTGGCACAAAAGTTGTTGAGGTCACCGGAGCAGGCATACGAGTTGTCTTCAGAGTGAGGGTTACAACAGTTGAAGTTGCAACAAAGGGCCGAGTGGGAGGGGCTGTTGGAACACCAGTGTATGGAGTAGTAGGAACACCAGTGTATGGTGTGGTAGAAACCCCAGTGTATGGTGTGGTAGAAACCCCAGTGTATGGTGTGGTTGGGGCACCATCTGTGTATGGTGTGGTTGGGGCACCAGTGTATGGGGTGGTTGGGGCACCAGTGTATGGAGTGGTTGGGGCACTAGTGTATGGAGGGGTAGGAGTAAATGGGGTTGGTGGAGTAGTTACGGTGGCCACACCATCACAAGAGAGCAAATCAGCCCTCAGAGCAATGCCGTTAATATACTCTGTTGGATAAATAGCCACTTTCCTCACAAGTAGTTCATCTCTAAAGAATGTCTTGACAGGACTGGTGCTGTCATAATTTCCGACAAACACCTTTGGAAGGAAGCCACCTTCATCAGTGTACCACTCAAAATTGTCCCCATCTTGAGAGGTTTTCACAGTGTATTTACTGACCCACTGTGGAGCATCCGGCCTGCCTTGAGTGATGATACCGGATATAAACTCTGGGTGTTTCAGGTCAATGACAAGATAAGGATTCAAATCCATCTTCCTGGGGAGTTACAAAAATTCCCTTACAAACTAGAATAAGGTATGCAATAAAAAATAATATATCTTGGACAAGAGACATCAGTAGGAGAGAAACATCCTCATTCAGATTATTTGTGAAGTCGTCTTGACATAAGGACTAAAAGATCATTGTGTCAATGTATTTGAGGTGTTCAATATCTAGCTATACAAAAACTAAATCTCTTTTAAAGGCGGAAAACTTAATCTCTCAGCTGGATTTCATTCTGAAAGGGGCTGTTCTAGAAAGAAGGAGAAAAGATTCAGATTATAGGAACAAGTTCTGGTACATTTAACATACTGCTGACTATGCCAGAAGACGGACAAACAACAAAAGTTAAAATATTCATGGTTTAGATCTATAAACTTATCATGCAGTAAAAAAAATAAATAATAAAAGCATCTATTGTCAAAAGCTATTTAAACAGAAGGCAAAGGACAGAAGGAAGAACAGAGTTCGAAGGGGCGCATTGAATTGATTGTTGTAATTTGATCACATTTTGACAATCTCATTAGATCAAGAATAAATCACAGTTTGAGACCCAGGTGATTTTCAGGAATTGATATACGAGTTTGTTTTCTCAAGCTAAACACTTTCATAATTTTCTGAAAGGTTAATAACACCCCAGTAAAAGTAGAAACAAAACAGAGAAAGAAAATAATTATACCATCGCTTCCTCTTATAAAAGAACATTCATTGTTGACTGCAGGCGCTACAGTTAAGTCCTTGCTTTACACACAAATAAAGATTGTTTCTCACTTTAAAAGAATCTACACTATCAAAAATACCTCTGCAATGTATCATGTTTTAACAAACAGTTCATTTTGATAGCAAATATTAGCCATTGCCTTACTTTGGCATCCATGCGCCTCCATTTAATGAGTCTGATGGAAGATTAAAAAGTCGTCCATTGTAAGCATCGAAAGCAACTCCATCACTGGAGGAGGCAGAGAATTGTTCCTTTCCAACGACTTGACGGCTAAAGAGACCCATGACTTCATCACAGACTGAGGAAGTAGAAAAACAGGACAACGAAAATATTATTTCCAGAATACAAAACAGGTTTGTTCAGTTTCAGCTTTTTGTCATTGCTTCCAAAATACAACATTAAAGTAACATTTCACGTCAACCTATTATTCTACAATATACAAAAACCAGAGAGACAACAATTACTTTCAAGTACAAACTGAAACAGAGCAAGGTTTACAGAATTAATCACAACATGTCATATTGTCAATGAAAGTCTGTCTTGGAATTCTCAATTAGAGGTAAGACAGAACAAGTGGAAACGACGTACCTTTATCCCCGTCTGTAATTGGTGGATAGGTGACGAACAGAGGCTGTGGAGTTGCCTGAGTTGGTCCAGTGGGTAAGGGAGGGAACCTGTCAGTAGGCGTTGGCCCGCTGGGAGGGACGGTGGAAGGAACACGATCATCTCCTGTGTAATAAGTCCACGATGTCGGGGAGGGAGGTACATCAGTGAGAGGAGGTACCCTTGTTACTGTTGGTGGGATCTCAGGGAAAGAGGGACCAGTTGTCTCCATGTCTTTTCCCGTGGTTACTTGTGTATACAAGGTAGTCCCACTGAATGGGGTGGTGCCTGTGGTCTTCTGGTCATCTATTGTTGGTGGACTTGAAGTAGGAATATCCGAATCTGTTGGCCGAACTGTGGTTGGAACACTCGATCCGACAGCAGGTGTGGTAGCTGTGGTGTTCATCTCGGGAGCACATGAGTCTTCACAGAGAACAGCAACTTCGTAATCATAGCACGGTTGATTAGAGGGTTGAATGCTGTTGAGGCAAATCAACCCCCTGTTCAGGTCACATGAAACACCCATTTGCCTGGCCTTGTCCCAACGGATGCCATCAGGACTATTCTGATCTGGAACAGTGCGGCATACGATATCTGTTGGATATTCACAGAAAGCACGGGAAAGCCTCAAGTTGCTCATGCTCTCAAACTCACCAAGCTGTGAAGGAGCCTGTGAGTTTATCCAGTCTGTCCAGCCACAAGATGGAACAGGTTCCCACGGTGTGCCAGTCACTGGAGGAGAGCCTGGAGTTGTTGGGACACCAGTGTATGGGGTGGTTGGGGCACCAGTGTATGGGGTGGTTGGGGCACCAGTGTATGGGGTGGTTGGGACACCATCTGTGTACGGGGCTCTTGTGGTGCTTGGTAAACTTACAGTGACTGGTGTTGTTGGGGCAGTGGGTGGAACATCTGAAACCAATTGAAAGAGCAAGGAATTTTTAGTCAAAATGTTTGACACTTATATTCAGTGTTGTTTAAGAAACAGAATTAAGCAAACTTTGAAATATCGTACAGTCTAAATAATGAAATGAGTCAAAATTAGACCAAAAATATAATGACAAAAAGTGCTTAGTGTGGTCAAACTGACATTGAATAATTGAAAACTACAGGTGAGTTCAGATATTCTCCCCCCCTCCCTCCCCCCCCCTCTCTCTCTCTGTCTCTCTCTCTCTCTCTTTCTCGCTCTCTCTCTCTCTCGCTCTCCCTCTCCCTCTCTCTCTGTCTCCTTATATACATAATATTATATTCCTGCATATTAGAAACGTATGGATTACAGTTCTTTCTCCTTTGGAGGAGACATTTATATGTGTATCTTCTAACTGTTATACACTTCAGCATATAACGTTTACTTACAGTCTGATCCACATCCAAGAATCTCAAAGCTCATGGATGGAAAGCTTACGTAGTTGACAGGTTTGATCTTAATGCACTGTACATTGTGCAGCATTTCTGGTAAGTAATTGGTCACAACAGATGAATCATCCACATTTCCATCAAAAAGCTGAAAAACGGAAAGAAAAAAAGTGAAGCCAATATAGATGGAAAACAAAGAAGTGAAAGAAAACTGGTGAACAATCATCTTTATGTTTGTAGGTTAACAATATTCAAACCAAAGCAAAACTAAGCTCTGTGCATTGCGCTGACATCCAAACTCCTATTGAAGTGAATAATACTCAAATAAGCTACAACAGATCAGTATTGTCAGTACTTGAACCATGATACTTTCACAGCCCTGATTACAGTATTGAAATAATGCTGTGACGTTGAAACATTCCTTAAACATAGAAAAAAATGTTAACACGCATTGTTCGCCAGATATACGAGGACATCATTCATTGTAAGTATGGCAGTACTTCTATCAGAGACAAAAGTGAGGACGAAATCAGTTCTTAACTTTTACGTGTCGTTGGTTTGTGGATGCTCTGGTGTGGTTCTCTGTCAGTCTTTAGAGTGTTTGTTACTCTCTCGCAACACTCCTAATCTTCAGCACTTGTGTGGCCTTAGTGTGTCGCAAGTGCCGTAAAATGTTAACAAAAAAAACAAACTTTTACGTGAATCATGAGAAAACTTACCTTCACTTTTCCATTCCTTTCTTTTACAAAGGAGAAAAACTGGCAGTTCTTGTCACTGACCAGAATGTAGAAGGAGGAGACCCACTCAGACATGCCTTCTCCACCCCATGTGCTCACGCCCACAATAGTGCGAGGTTCACCCAAGTTCACCTGAGTCAGGCAGGGGAAAAAAGTTTAAAAAATAGATTCGAAAATTTCATTGATAATTGGAAAACCGGCAATTGTGATTCCTTTTATAAACTCTCTCCCCCCCCCCCCCCCTTTACTCAATCAATTAGCCATAAATGAAAGAATGCCATTTGTACATTAGAGAATACAGCCTTCTGCCAAAACGCATACATATCCAAGTTAAAATTAAATTTATTATTTTAAAATGGAGAAAATGTCGTTTAATTGGTTTTCCAAAAAGGAAGAACTTACTTAGAATTATACTGCCCCTTGAATACAAATTATATCATAGGAATCACGTCAATGTCTTTCACTTAAGTGCAAATAAGTGCTCCAGCTACACCATACACTGGTGCCCCAACTGAGTTATTCACAGAATTTTGTTGGACACATTTATAAAACAGAGGAAAAAATGAATATAAGAAAATAAGTAATTAATTTAGATCTGACATTGCATAGACTCTCATACAACTAGAATAGCAACGAAAACTTTAGCACCCGCAGCAATATAGAAAGATGTGTAAATATCAACCTCTATCATAGGGTTAGCATCATCATCATCAGGGACCCAGTAACTGTCGGAACCTCTTTTAGCATCCGCTGGTCCATTTGTATCAGGGTCTAGAGTAGAGGATGCGCTGAAGCTGGAATCAGGCAGGCCAAACACAAGGGGTTCAGCAGTACAACCTGTTGAAAATTAAAACATTTCTTTTATCGTTTCTCAACACCAGTTTATAGTACATCCCACATAAAGTCAACAAGAACTACTTCATGGAATAAGTACAAATGTAAACATAGTGTTGAAATATACAGTAAGCTTTATACAGCACTTTTTGTAACGACTTTTTGACCAGTCGTAGGCGTCTGTTAGTTATTCGCTTTCTAATTCCAGCGATAAAACCATTCAAATATTTTTTTTAAACGTGTGAAATGATTACAAACAATACACATACCCAAATTGGGAGAGCACTGGCAGTATGTCCTAATTTCGTAGTCTTTACACTGTGATCCCGAAGGCTGCTCACTATTCTCGCAAACGAGGCCTCTGTCAACATCGCATGTCACTCCAACATCTAGTGTGTCATTTACAGACAGTTCCGTGAGGGTTTGCCGACACTGTGGAAATCAAGCAGTACGCTAGGCCTATAACACAAGAGAAAAACATCTATTGTTATCTTTATCTAAGATAGCAAACCAGCAATTAGAATTGTAATGGAACTTTGAGACGAAGGGAATCTCAACAGGTAGGTCCCAACCTACAGGGGACGCATAAAAAACTGAGGTTTAAACAACCAAGAAAAGATCATATCAAGATGAGTTGAATTTTGAAAATTTGTTCTACAATTTGAAAAAAAGTGGACGACAGAAAGTTTGAAGAATAAGACGAGGGTTTGGAACTAACACAAGGTTGAGAAATCCTATTCTAGTAATGTATTACATCTCTGGAGAATTTGTCTCTTTGGTCATATCAGAAGCCACAAATGATTTTAATCAGCAATGACTTGGTTTGATCATCGCCAGACATTGACGATCGAACTATTATGACAGGTTACATGGTTTTTATCCTAAGTACAGGTTTAAATACCGGTATCTTCGTATAAGTAAACAATACAAGTTACAAAAGAACAAGAGAGCCTATCTCACTTTAACTGAAAAAAACAACAAAACAAATGTCATTAACTTGCAAAAGAGAAGCAGCGAGCGGAAGGGGCAGGGAGAATCAACTGAGCAATAAACAAAAGAACTCTTCACGTGATACAAAAAGTGTGTGTGTGTGTGTTGGGGGGGGGGGATATACAATCTCATACGAAAGCTAAAACCTTGAAAAATTCCTTATTTTCAAAAGCTACGCAAATAATAGTTGCCGCCCTCTAAGTCTGACAGGAAAGCGCGATTATTACTTCCCACAACTTCAAAGATTTGCACTAACAAACCCCCCCAAAAGTCAAACCTAATGACTAACCTCGATTTGGGTAATGTACTCTCTAGCGCAGTCAAACGTTGCCCTTGGGTCTTGTGGTATGGGCTCCACGTCTCCCTCACCGGCAGGGGTGTCTGAGCTGACCCATGAGGACCACGCCTCCCTGGAACACTTGGGGCGAGGGGGAGACACGGTGGTGCCTGGCACCCTGGGACCGTATGGCGGGACTGATGTTGGGAGTCTTGGCCCCATAGGTGGAGGGATACTGCCTGATATGGTCATGAGAAGCAAAGGATTTACTTTGGAGTGTCTTTATATCCAAGAAAAACAGAAACGCGTACAGACACGCGCAATAAAAGAAAAAGATTTACGGTAAAATATGCACTCCACAACTACTCCCAGCTTAAGATAAAATTTTGTAGAAAAAATTGATCGGAGCAGTATTTGAAAACACAAAACAAATATCAATTCCGTATCAGAAGCCATCTTTTCAGCATAAACCAGTTGCTTACTTTCAAGCTCTACTGACATTATCTTTCAGTCTGTCAATAAATACTTTTCTAAAACAACGAAATAATTCTTATAAATAAACTTCTTTAAAGTTTAGAAACTTGACAATAGCAGGCACTGGCATGCGATGGACAATTCTGCTTTTAAAAAATCCTCTAGATTTAGGAACCAGTCCTTCACTCTTTATCACCAATACGAGGCAATGCAGCAACTAAAAGGTCTACATACTGCGACTTCCATTACAGACTTTTCATAAAGTTACAAACGACATGTGTAATACAGTCAGGAAACGTTCGATAGGGACATAAATGAGCAAAACAGACTCAAGTATACTTACAATCACAATTATAGCTGACTTCAAAGTCCATACAGAGACCCCCAGCCTGATCAGCATGGCGACAAGAGAATCCATTCTGAAGGTCACAGGTCACTTTCTGGCCAAAGTAAACCCCATATTCTGGCTGATTGATGACACGGCATCTGATACCTCTCAACTGGCTTTCATGACAGAAGGTGTACTTGGATCGCAGACCAGAAACTGTCTCAAAATCTCCTGCATTGGCATGGGTCGGGACACTTGCGCTCATCCAGCTAGTCCAGCCATGCTTCACGCATGCGACAAATGGCTGAGGAACTGTAAAAATGACTTTTAATAGTTATTCACTCTACTAAAACATTATGGCGTCAATTTCATCACATGAGATTTTTCTAACACAACACGTAACACACTGAGATACTATAGATGTTTAAAAAACCAACAACCCAGTATTGCACTTGACAAAAAACTATTATTATAAAATTTTTAATTTTTCTTTAGACGTCAGTTTTTTAGTAATAATTACTGGCACGCTTAGATGAACTTCACAACATGGTGCTGTCGAAAGTGACCGGATCAACATTTGACAAACTATAAAATGTAGTTACCAGGCACTGTGACAGGTGGAAAAGGAGGGATTGCAGTGACGTTGGGAGGAGTGACTGGTGGTCGGATGGTCACAATGATAGGGTCGCACTTTCCAAAGGTGATGTGCTCCAGCTCTCCATTGCGACAGTTGCTGCGATTTAAAAAGAAAGATTAACATCATGTTATGTTACAAACTAAAAGGACCCCCCCCCCCCGAAAACGAATATAGATAATCTAGATGAAAAAAAATCGAATAGGAAACAATACAAACAACAATGTTCAAGGATTGGCACTATGTGAGGGTGTACAACTCCTGAGTGGACACTTGCAGCCAAAGCAGGAGCTGCGATGAACCTCGCAACACGAGTTCTATGGCCCTTAGCTATCGACACATGTCGTCGAACGACAGGAAATGCTGATTTACTTCTAAAGTCTTTATTGTCTTGCTTATTTCCAGCTAGTAAAAAATTCAGGAAAAGAATAAAGCAAATGAGACGAGAACAGCTGTGAAATATGTTCAGCAAATTATGATTACATTTGTACTATAATTAGCTCGCTAAAATGGGGAGCCACAAGGGTTTTTCCCCCTTTTGTATTCTGATATAAATTTCTTTCCTGCTATCTGTTTTTAAAACAGTCTGGGAGTCCAAACAACCTAAAAAACTGAAAAACATCTGACAACTTTAATTAGGCGTTGCCTTTTTAAAAACAGTACTTAAACCTCTCCAGAAACTAAATAACAGCCCCCCCA